AACTCCCGGCAGAAATTGGTAGAGTGGCCATAATCACGGTGGTACCGACAGTATCTATCCTTTCCGGCTGAAAACTCTCGCGGTGGGGGCAGAGGCTTGGTTTGCGAGAGCAATTTGTCTTCTTCCCGCTTTTCCATCATCTCCAGGATCTCCTGCTGTGGCGCATTAAGTGGTTTGTAATGCTCGTACCTTGGACCCCTGAACCGCTCCTTAACCTTGGACTCCTTAGCAATAGTTCGGCGATCACTTTGTCGAGGCTTCTCGTCTACCTGCTTAGCCTTTGTTTTGTCATTCTGAATGAAATCTGAAGCCTCCTCCATATTCACATACTTGCTACACCTCTCGAGGAGCTCGTCAAAGGACCTCGCACGCCTCTTCGCCAATGAATCCCTGCATTTACCAGGCCTCAACCCCCGCGTGAGACCCCCAGCTTTTATCTCCTCAGTAGCAGAAGGTACCTCCACACACTCCTTAGTGTACCTTGAAATTTACTATCGCAGACTCTCCCCCTCCCTCTGTTGCATGTTGATTAGTGAGAGATACGTCTTCTCATGCTTCCTAGCGCTCGCGAACTGGTTTAAGAACAGAGAAATGAACCTCTCAAAGCTTTCAATAGAACCGGGTGGCAACTGGTGGAACCAGTCTTGTGCTGAGCCCTTCAAGGTAGTTAAGAAAGCTCGACAACTAACCGCATCGCTGTATCGGTGCAGCACCGCTATGTTATCGAACGACCTCAGGTGTCTAGCAGGATCTGCTGGCCCATCATATGATAGGCTCAGCTCTTTGAAGTTATTTGGCAAGTCTCCACCTCGCACCTCTTCTGAAAAAGGATGACCATGCGATCTGCCCACCCTTCGCCCTGGGAGTCGGGCTTGCATCTCACGCATTTGTTCCGCTAGTCTTTCCAGAGTCAACCCCTCCTGATGTGCCACCAAGGGTCGAGATGTCGCCGACCTATCGCCATCCTCATCCCCTCTTTTGCGCTGGTGGGTCGGGGGAGGGTGCAAGGACAACTGCTGATGCACGGGCTGCCTTAGCGATTCATTAGCTCGCCGATCAACCTCTTGAGCCCGCCCTATTGCGTTCGCTATGATCCTGTCCAGTTCCGCCCTCGTTATATGTATCATTTGATCTCCTCTTGCCGTCGAGGAGTTGCCTGGGGGGTTGGTTCCTCCTGCTAAGACCATCTGTTGATCATTCGGTTGGGCGGTCTCTCCTGCCAAGACCATTTGTTGATTGTTCAGCGGGGTCACCTGACCCGTGTTCCTATCAGGGACCTGGCCGACCTGACCAATTCCTCCACTCGTTCTCCTTGTTGGTCAAGCCACCCGATTCTCCTGGGTTCGCCAAACGCCCTTGAGCTCCTGGTGGCGGTGTCGGGGTCAACGTCTCCTTGGGGGTAGTAGGCGACAGCGACCACCCGGGCGGCGGCCCTGTTCCAAGAGCCCTCTTCGTCTACGCCTCATCCATATCCTTTGTAAAGTTTTTCTTCAAGTTATCTCCTGCCATGATCCCCGTTGCCCTCCTTCTTCTTTGGTGAGAAAAAACAGCCTATGATACTCTGGTAGAAGACTGAGTTCCCCACAGACGGCGCCAAGTTGTTATACCACAAATACCTGAACCGCTTTACCGCTCCTCTCAAACCGAGTTGAACCTCCTTGATCGTCGGTACCTGCAAAACATGCCGGGGTGATCCCGGCGCGGACACTCCGACGCTCAAGTCAGTGATGGTGTTTTCGAGAGAAAACGGCAGAGTAACAAGATAATATGTGTATGTGTGTTGTATAAAATGAATGAACATGTTCCCTTTTATAAGTGAGGTCATGCGCAAGTCGAAGAGTTCTTGTTGGTCTAGAAGTCTTCCTCGTGTCTATCTCTAAACTAGGTCAAAGATATCTAGAATTTCATAGTCCTTATCACTCCAAATTTCCTTGTGACTTAGCCACGAAGCCACCTCCAGGATCTGGTCCCCTCGGCAGAACCCTCTGGCCGAGCTGCCTAGGTGCCGAGGCGCCTAGCTGCCGAGGTGCCGAGGCGCCTAGTTGCCGAGGTGCCTAGCTGTCGAGGTGCCGAGGCGCCTAACTGCCGAGGTGTCGAGCTGCCTAGCTGCCAAGGCGCCTAGCTGCCTAGTCGCCAAGCTACTGAGATACCCCGCTGCCTAAGCTATCGCCTCCGCCTAGCTCAAGTTGAGCTGGTCTCCGCCTAGCGCCCACCAAATATAACTGTAACCAGAACTCGGATCACAACCGGTCCGAGGAGAACCCCTACTAACGGCCGTATCAGCGAGTATGCAGCGGGCTGGGGGCGGGATTCGATGCTTTGGGTGCGGTGAGATTGGGCATCGACAGACGGCGTGTCCAAGAGGGACCGGGTCGCGTGCTTTGTTCGCTGAGGAGACAATAGAATATTCGACAGCTGCGGTATATGATGGCCCTCTTATTTTTAACAAAGAGCCCGAGGTTCCAGAGGTGCATGTCTCGGGAAACGTGGGACACGCGCTTGTCCTTTGTCGCTTTTTTTTGTGCCCGCCCGTCATTTCCACTGATGAGGGCCTACGTCGACAACTTCTCGAACCTACGTGCACCGTTGGCGGCCGGGTGTGCCGTTTTGTTATTGGTTCCGGGTCCTGCGAGAACGTGATATCTGACGAGGCTGTGGCGAAGCTTGGATTGTCGACGGAGCCGCATCTAAATCCTTATGCTCTCACGTGGATACAACGTGACAACGTGGTCCTTGTTAATAGGCATGCGTTAGTGTCTTTCTCTATTGGCTCTGCATATAGGGAGGATGTGTGGTGCGATGTCGTGCCTATGGATGATTGTCACCTTTTATTAGGGTGTCCATGGCAGTTTGATCGTACCGTGGTTCATGATGGGCGCCTTAACACGTATGGATTTCTGTTTGAGGGCAACCGGGTTGTCTTACATCCATCGGCCCCCCGTTCGGTTCCTTTGCAACAGACGTCGATGGCATTGTTTCTTTCTCGGGATGGGCTGCGGGGAGACTTGGTTGGAGTAGTGGACAGTCGTTCTGTGGTTTTTTATGTGGGCGACTTTGTGTGGGTTGTTTCCCTGGTGGACGGATGAGTGGGCCCTTACGAGGTTCTCGATTGGCTTTCTCCAGATGGTTACCGTCTTTGCTTGCCCTCTCATGCTCGTTTGCCGGATGTTTTCCATGTGACGCAGTTGGGCCATTTTCAGCTCGGCGACTCCGACGGAGACGAGCTCGGTTCGAATTCGAGGGCGAATCCTTCTCAACTGGGGGAGGATGATAGAGACGAGCTCGCAATAGCATATTTGGACAAGTTTGATCGACTCCATATTTAATTATCTATGTATTTTTATTATTTTTATTTGGTTTATGCTATCTCCTTAGTTAATAGTTATTATGAGTAGAAAATAAATATCTTGCACTTGTTAGGCAAGATAAGGACTCTTGTTTTTTATTTATATTGAATGAGAACCGTGAGAAGAACTCAATTGAAAATTATCTGTTCAGTGTGAGAGAGTATCTCAAATTATCTGTTCGTCTTGGGAGAGTATCTCAAGAAGGTCCGATCGTATCACGTTCTACATCACAAACATTAGGGGTGTTTTTTACCCATTTCCCTTGATGATATATCAAACATAAAAAGTTTTAATTCTTTTATTTTTATTTTTAAAAAATTACTAATTTTTTATAATAGTATAAATAAATAGGAGATGTTACGATTTCGTAATGGAACCGTAGTATTTCCCTAAATAAATATAAATAGATAGATAAGATCAATTAATTTTTCAGTCAACTTAGCTCAAACTTCATTCATTATTTGCGGATATAATGTTTTTCAGCTAACTTTATTGTTTTTATAAAAAAAATAAAATGTTTACAATAAAAATAGTGTTAATCCCATTAAATGACCATAAAGATTTATAAAACACAAATTTTATCCATATTTTGTAAAACAACATCTTTTTTAGCCATTTTGCCATGTGCTATTACTAAAATATCCCTTCACTCAATTTTACCTTCTTTCCCCCAATTCAATATTTACCTCACACAATTCCCCCCCAATTCATTTTCATTTTCAGAAATAAAATAAAAAAAAAATTGCCTTCAAGAAATCCAGAATTCCCCCCAACACCGTCCCTAGCCTTATTCATCTCCAAGAATTCATCTTCATCACCTCCTCAAACACCCCATCTTCAGCGGCCCATTCTCCAGCCCGCAACGTTCGGTAGGCTAGGTTGAGAGACTCATCCAACGTCCGAGCACCTCATCCCCCGTCCGAACACCGTCTGGGAAGTTCCACCTCCGCCCTTCACTCTTCACGACCTCCGAATTTGAAAACAGGTAACGTTTCCGAGCACCTCATCCCCGCCNATTTAATTTCATTCTTTTTTTCGGACTGATGTACAGAGATTTCATCCCCGCTGTAATTTAGCGGTGTTTGTTTTTGGACTGTATGAGATTTCATTCTGAGGCTACCTATTTATTACAGTTTAATAAATAGAATATTTTGGCACAATGCAATTGCGCCTCAATTAAACCTAGATTGTTCTACTATTAGACAAAATTAACGGCAAAATTAACGGTCTTTTTTGAACTGAAATGTCATGAAATCTTGAATAGGCCCTTTCCTTTTTTGTTTTTTTTGTTTTTTTTTTTTCATTTTGTTGTTGTTTTTTGTTATGCTGAAAAATAGTATATGGGTTTTGTATATGGTGTTTTGCTAGCTGTTTGAGTCGTGTTTGCCTTTTGGTGTTCTGATTCTCTTCCTTAGATCTTGTGTTTTTTGTTACAAATTTGGAGTGGATCTTGTAACATAGTGATGCATATTAATTTGTGAGTTTAGGTTTTCAGCTGGGTCTCTCTTGAAAACCCAGAAGTATATTCAATAAAATTTCTTGCTTAATTTCTATTTAGTTTTTACTTTATATATATGTGTAAATATTTAGTTTACTGGTTGAAGTTTTGAGGAGTACTGCCTATCTGAAAGAAATCTTTTTGAAAACCCATCAATGATTATCATGAAGGGATCGAGGTTTTTGAGGCCCGCCCAGCAGCTGCTGGAGGAGCTTTGCAATATGGGTCGGGTCGTGCGTGTGGATAAAATCGGTCCCGACCCAGGATTGTTGGATCCTCCACCTCTGGATAACTTAACAGGGGTTGGGATTATAGATGATAGCGGTGATGGGGGCGAGCTGAAGAAGAAATTGAGGTTACTTTCTATGCTCGATGAGGTATTTTTATTTTAGCTAATCTGTGAATATCTTTTTTTTTTACTTGTGATGTGAAAAAAAAAATCAAAAAAATTGCTCATTCAAAGTGGTATTGTTCAATGGACTGTGTGCCATTTTAGTCTGTTAAAGTTTGGTCATTGGCGTGTACTCTAAAAGGCAACAATTGTTCTCAAGAATTTAGATTCTATGTATTTTTTTTAACTCAAGTGATTCACAAGGTTTAGTCAATGTTTGTGATCCTTAATTCGTTCTTCCACCCTTTATGTTACTTGTATAACATTCTTGTATGACATCCAACATTATATTTCCATAACTCGATGAGAACTCATTTCCACGTCAGAACTATTATGGGTTAATTCAGATCAGGAGATGGTATTTATAATAGAGACATTCAAACTTATGTATGTCATTCATTTACAACCAATATAATGGGGCCTCATATCGGAAAGTGAATGTTTTTATGTTCCTCTTTCCTGGCCCTCTTTGTCTTATATATTCAAAAGTAGTTACAGAGCCAGACAATTCAACTCTGAACATAATTATTTTACCAAAATGTGAAATTGTGATGCAGTAATATAGGTGTTTCTTGTTCCTTTAACTTCGTTCAAAGAGAGACCGATTTGTCGTTTTGATTCTTAAATGTGTCGAGCATTTATTAAGAGTGTATGTGATTGTCTGACATAAATTGTTGAATTGAAATGTTAGGTGCTTTAAGTATCACGTGTTGGTTGTAGTATTAATATTGGACTAATTGCGAAATTTTAATAACTGTAGGATGGAGATGATTCTGATGAATCTGCTGAGAGTGATGTGGAGACACCAAATAAGGTAATATGCACCTCAAATTAATTGTCGTATAGGTTACTTATTATAATTATTATTATTAGTAACATGTATGTATAAATAACTTATCGGCCATCAACCTCCTATTTCGGCCATCAACCTCCTCTTTTAAGATTTACTATTGTTCCTTATATTAGTAATTTCGTGTAGCCAGTATATTATGTTCTTTGCTATTGATTATAGTTTTGCAAGATTTTCAAGTCAATTTACATAGTTTTTTCTAGATCTACGTTTTAAATTTTTTTTCTAGTTTTGTTGAAACTGAAGGAGAATAGCTCGACCGATGGGAGATGAGTGAAAGAAGTTGAGGCTCGACGACAAGGAGAGGAATAAAAGAACAAAATAAGGGACTAAAGTCGGCATTGTGTAAGCTTAATTGATGTCAAATTTTAACATGAGTTTACACTAATAGCACATGATGGAATAAAAAGAATTGTTTTTAGGGTTGAACTTTAATATACCTTTGTGGTACTGTTTGTTTTGGATAGATTGTTAAGTGGATATTAATATTTTGGTTTTTAACGCACCTTCTTCAATATTGTGTTCAAACAAAAAAAAAAAGAAAAGAAAGTTAACGCTTTTGATTTTTGGCTTGCTTATTCATTAGCTTTGGTACTTTCAGGAGACTTTGAGAAAAGCTGAAGAGATATTCGGGATGGATAATAAAGACCTTTAAATATAATTTTAGGGGTTGCTAAACCGCAGCATGCATTAGGAAGTGCATTACAAGTGAAGTTTGTGCTTCAGTCTCTAGGTTATGAGGTATCCTGTAGAGTGACTCGGTGTACGCTTCATTATTTGACCTTTAACCATGGATATGTGAACGCTGTTGATTGATATTTTGTTTTAAGAAATGGTTGATTTTTAGAAATTCCTTGCAAAAGATTTTCAAAATTTGTGCAAGTTCTATTGCAGGGACTTTAGATGGCACTAATGTATGGTACATATGTAAATAATGACATTTGTTGTAGTGTCATCTTTTGTTGTTGCTACGAACATAATGCCTTTATATTGACCTTTCAAATGGGTACATCAATCACCATCATAGGGCGACAACAATTAGTGAATTCGTTGGAAGCATGTAAGGCAAAGAATGCGTATATGAACACAACATTGTCATTTGTCTCATAGCATGTGGTGGTTCCAGGATTTCCTCTCATCAGCATATGAAAATATCCAGGCAAAAGTTCCTAAGATTTATTATGATCCTTGTAAACGAAGTCATACGCGACATTATGAGACTTTAGTGCTTTATTGTATTTGACTTGGTGTATCATGATCACGCTCCTGATCACTCATTATATACCTCTAGGGGCTGAACGACTGAGGTCGAGCATACATGTATGATTGTTGAATTTACATATTTTCCAATTGACATATTTTTGACACGACAATGTAAAAAAAAAAACATGTCTTATATATGACTCAATGTCTTACATAATAAAACAAATAAAATTTGAACCGGAACCGACATCTTGGATCGATTTCTGGGTCCATAAATGATTCAAAAATCGTTTTTGGGATTCAAAAAATGATTCAAATATCGTTTTTGGGATTTCTGAAATTTCTGGAGACCAGAAATCGTTTCTTGGTCCAGAAACTATTTTTGGGATTTCTGGGACCAGAAACGATTTCTGGGGTCCAGAAACGATTTCTGCGACCAGAAATCATTTCTTGGATTTCTGGCATTTCTGGGACCAGAAACGATTTCTGGGGTTCAGTAACGATTTTTAGACCAGAAATCGTTTTTCGAATTTTTGGGATTTCTAGGGTCCATAAACAATTTTTGGGCTCCAGAAATGGTCTAGAAACGATTTCTGCGACCAGAAATCATTTTTTGAATTTCTAACATTTCTGGGACCAGAAACAATTTCTGGGGTCCAGAAATCAATTTCCGGTCCCAGAAATCGTTTTTCGAATTTTTGGGATTTCTGGGGTCCAGAAATCATCATTTCTGGGGCCCAGAAACGATCATTTCTGGAGCCCAGAAACTATTTCTGGACCCTAGAAATTGACGATTTCTGATTTTTTTAAAAAAAATAGATAGTAAAGGTATTTTAGTATTTTTAGGTGCCAAAATGGCTAAAAAAGATGTTTTTCCCACAACATGGCTAAAATTTATGTTTTACATTTTTGGCTAAAAAAAAATTTCACTGATAAAAATATGGGAAATTTTCACCTATGCTATTCGTTTCTAAAATAATTGATGATTTACCACTCAATCTAATTTATTTATGTCTATACCTAAAATATAGAAACTAATTAAAATGTTGCCTAAATAACAGTTACACGAGATATACCAACTTTCCATGTTTATAGGGCATAATTTCAGGTATCAAGATGAAAGAATATCACATTTGAATTTGAATTGAGATACGGACGGTACAAAAAGAAAGAGAACATGCCGGCGAGCAGATATTTTCCTGAAAAACTCGACCGATGTTCTTCATCCATTGAAAAAAAAAAAAGCTTGCTTTTTTCAATCGATTGTCTCCGACAAAAGATTTGCATCAAGAGGTTAAAAATAATTGCGGTGTCGATCAAATCCTGCGGCGAGCACTCAACAACCGAACAACACTCAAGAACAAATACATACAGGCCAAAAGATTCGGAGGTATATATTTTTTTTTTTTGTGTTAAAAACCTGTGCCGAGCAATCATCAACCTGGCGTGTTTTGAATATTTTGGTACTGATTTCGTCCCCCTTTTTTATTTCTTTTTTTTCGCCAGATGGATCCGAATATGATGATTTTCATACATCATGGGGGTGAATGGGTGATGAATGACTACGTGAATTACCAACTATCTGGTGTTTTGGTTCGGAAAGAAGGCAGCTTCAACGAATTATGCGGTATATTATGTGAGGAGCTCGGGTTGATACGTCAATCATCTGTGCTTGATCTAAAATATAAGCTGAAAGAAGGTAGTCCACTAATTTCGATAAACAGCGATAGGAGCCTTAGCTTCTATGTATTTTTGGTGTCCAAAGAAGATGACTATGCAAAATATCCAGTGTGCGTTGTGGTGAAATCTCGGAGTACTGTTGAAAATTTGTTTGATGAAGAAGTGAATATAGGGTCTGTGAATGGCGAATCAGACATTGCTCTACTGTGTTATCCGGAACTTGACAGGCAACATGATAGATCAGATGGCACGATAAATTTCATGTCGTTCGCGAGGAACGTGGCTGCAGAGATGGTAGAAGTGGCAGCATCTACCGAAAATATACTTGACATATACCCAGGTTCTGAAATGCGGTTGACAGCGAAGGAAAATTTTGACTCTGGTATTGTTGCTGGTCTCTTACTAAAGGATAAGGAAACGTTACAAACAATGTTGACCATGCATGCACTAAAGCATCAGTATCAATTCAAGGTTGACAAGTCATGCTCAAAACAATATTATGTCAGGTGTGTATCGAATGAATAGTATCCTGGTATATTTAAACTATATTCTGTAACATTTGACTTATATTTTGATATATGTAACACTTTTAATATTTTGTCAGGTGTGTCTCGAGCGAGTGTACATGGTTTGTGAAAGCTTCCCGTATGGGTCGGTCAAACACTTTTAAGATAAGAGACGTGGGGACTGGACATATATGTGGTTTGGATGTCCGTACTAGTAATCAGAGACAGGCGACATCAACACTAGTTAGTAGTTTCATTAAGACAAAATTCACAAACAATAAAACTGCATATAATCCGGGTGATATCATTGACGACATGCAAAATCAGTTTGGGATAAACTTGACATATCACAAAGCATGGAGGTCGAAACGTAAAGCTGTTGATGAAGTTCGTGGCAAGGTTGATGAGTCATACAATTATGCTCATCAATATCTTAGTAAGGTACGTGCATCAAACCCGGGTAGCAATGTGATGATGCGCACCACATGGGATAAGAATTTCATGTATGTTTTCATGTCACTCGGTGCATCTGTCAAAGGGTGGGTACATTGTCGGCCAATTGTTATTGTCGATGGGACATTTTTGACGTCGGTATATGGAGGAATTTTATTGACAGCCTCTTGTCAAGATGCAAATTCTCATATATTACCGCTTGCATTTAGCGTTGTTGACTCCGAAAATAACAATTCCTACCTCTGGTTTTTCACAAAATTGCATGAAGTAGTTGGTGATAGGGACGGTCTTTGCATTGTTTCGGATGGTCACGAAAGCATAAGGCACGCAGTAGAAAAGGTACCATTATATTTCTAGTAACAATTTAGTATTTAGTCTGCAGAATATACTCTCTTCTCCAGTTGACTCTTTTTTTCTTGAAATATTAAATGTTCCCAGCGGTTAGTATATTTTTGGTAACAGTTGGGCATTATTTTCCGTGATTTATAATATATTGGCAATGCACAGTTAAGTATTATATTTTTGTAGTAACAGTTATATTTCTAGAAAACAATTAAGTATAGAAAGGGTATATTTCTAGTAACAGTTATATAATATATACACGTTTAGAAAAAGGTGGTATTATATGTCTAGTAACAATTAAGTAGTTATTCGGCAAAATATAATTTTTTCTCCAGTTGATTTTTTTTTATTTTTTTTTTTGAAATATAACTTGTTCCCAGCTATTAGTATATTTTTTTGTAACAGTTTGGCATTATTTTTCATGATATATAATATATCAGTCATTTGCTTGGTTATATCTAATTTATTTAGGTATTCCCTAATGCGGCGCATTGTCTGTGCACCTATCACATCTCAAACAAATTGAAGATGCGTTATAAGACAGAATCACAGGCAGTAAAAGAGGAGTTTTATGCAGCAGCAAGGGTCTATACGGAAGAGGAATTCAATAAGCATATAGCACAGATAAATAAGCTGAATCCAAATGTGGTACCATATCTAGAAGAAATTGGATTTCACAAGTGGGCAAGAGTTCATTGTCCAAATAATAGATATTTTACCATGACATCTAACGCTGCTGAGTCAGTAAATGCTGCCATACGATCCGTCCGTGATCTACCGGTAACTCCACTACTAGAGGCGCTTAGAGATATGCAACAACGGTGGAATGTGGCAAACAAAGATGAAGCAAAGGCCACTTTTACTCCTCTTGCAAAGAAGCCACATAGGTGGTTGGAAATGAATTACCAAACGGCAGCAAGATACTCAGTGAGTGTTATTATTTTTATTTTTTATTTTTATACCTATTATATACTATATAGGTACTAGTAAATAACTATAATATACTTAAAAAATATTGTAATATACTATATATATACTAAATTGTGTAACAGGTACAGAAAGCCAGTGACAAAGTGTATAAAGTGATGGCTGATGGTAAGGCATTTATAGTATACATTGAAGATAAGACTTGCACATGCCACCACTTTCAAGTTGACGAGCTGCCATGCCCGCACGCTATACGTGTGATCAAGTCACTCCACCTGGATCCGGTCCCATTCTGTTCTGAGTATTACTTAACCTCTTCTATGTTGGCGACTTATGAAGATGCTGTGATACCAATAGAAGGTAATCAAGCATTCATATTTAATGCACCGTCTGTCCAAAGATTGGTAAATCCTCCAGATGCAAGAGTGAGGCCAGGTAGACCACGCAAACAACGATTCAAGTCGGGTTGGGAGCATAGATCAAAAAATAGATGCAGCAAATGTCACGAGAAAGGTCACAATGTGAAAACTTGTCGTAATCCAAT